TATGAGAAATAAGAGAGCACTATTTATCAATCTATAATAAAAGACGAAATCAATTAATTAATTATTGGAGACAGTATTTTTATATTAAAGGGGAACATTAAGTTCAATAGTTCAAGCTCGCGATTATCACTAGTTTAGCATTAATTTATGATAAAACAGTAAGTTGCAATCTGAAAAATTTGGGATGAAAATGACAAATGATTGAAGTAAAACGGTTATCCACTGTTCCGCTGAGCCCGAGAATCATGGAAAAGCAAGAAAGCTCCGACGTCCTTTTGTTAAGATTGAATATGGATTACGTCAGAAGTTCGTTAACAGATCTTGCTTGTTGATACATTTTAAACATAATACATGTTTCATATCGTGGGCTTAACGCTAAAACTGACCAAGTCTAAAATATAAATTTTTGGTAAATGCACTTTTAATTCGAGCCAAAAATTGTGTCAGAATACTTGGTCATTAAAAACCTATTTTAGAAAACCTGTTTGAGTAGTCTTGTAAGACAAATACATTATTTTTTTAAATTACTTGGTCAACAAACACAAATACGGCAGTTTTGGACTTGGTCACTTTTAGCTTTAAACCTACGATAGGTATATTGTGTGCTAAAAATTGGACAAAGAATAATTTAAAAACCTTGAGACTTCGAGTTAGAATGGTCATGGCAATCTGCTAATCTAAAAGATTAACTTTCACATTGATCGATTTATAATGTTAATTGTGTTTAATATCAGACGATGACAGGGATCTGGAACTAACTGGTTTAAATAGCTTTAGGTTTTAACGACATTAATAAACCTAAATGTTTAGTTCTTACACATCATAAATTATAATGGTGATGGAAAATACACGGAAGAAAAAATGTAATATTAATATCAAAGTGAAGAAACCCAGAAGGTTCTCAGTTGGTCTAAAATTTAATTTGCTTTTAAAGGGGCCAAAAAAGCCATCCGTCCAACCATCAAAAAGCCAAAAAATTAGTGGATTTTTCTGGATATAAAGGGGTCTCAAATCTCTTTTGTTTATTTACGCAACCATTGAGCCAAACACGATTATATCGACCGTAAAAAGAACGTAGCGCACGGTGAGTTTGGAGAACTGAACAGCGATTTTCGAAATAAATTGCCGATTTTGGAGCAACGAAAATCCAAAATCCGAAATACATTATCGAAACGCCGTTATATCTAGAAAAACTCACTGTTTGATGTGGTTTTTTATGGTCTAGCGAAATCAAAGTGGTCGAAAACTGGACTTTCGTAGATTGCTCTGCATTCGAGCGAGCCGCAGCGCCCATATGCTCCAGATCATATTTAAGCTATAATGACGTACAATTATATTTTCAGTAATGCCAGTACCATGACCTTAACATGAATTTTATGAGTTTTATTTCAATTTAAAGTTCTATACCTCTAAAAAAACACCCTTTACTAGTTATGTGGCAGTCCCCAGTAAATTCGCTGCATTAGCAATTAACTGATTACCAGTAACCATCAAAGGTCATCATTTTCATTTTTCACATAATAATTATCATTGCAACAAGCAGTCAGAGTACAGATTAGCTTTAGTGCACATGCAATGTAATCAGTAAACTTGGTTCTCGAAACGGTTTTTTCATTTTTTCCCGTACAGATTAATGATCAATAAAATTTTCGTATTATCTGGTTATGAAACCGTCGGTTAATAAATGCAAGATTCTTTGATAAGTAGTAATAATAACAGTTCAGTTCTTATTACGAGGGGGGAACCAACAAAACTATTTGAATTTACTAAGTCCTAAGTACTAAGTAAATTAAACTAAGTCCAGTTATGCTGGACTATGGCCACATACGGAGAGCAAATTCATAAAAAAACACATGTCCGTGAATATAATAATACCTTGAATCAACTCAATGATATTAATTTGATATGCAGTCTTGCATTAGCCGGCTAATCAAATTACACAATTGAGTAGTAAACATCAGATCCTGCAATATCATTACTTTTGCGACAAACGGTTATCGAAGTGCCACGTCAGAACTAGCATTCAACCAATCCCGATCCAGCCTGAAAGCGTTGGCGAATCACAGAGAGAGCGCCTACTGCCACAGAGCCAGATTATTGCTAATGCAGATTACCTCTTACAATTAAATTAAATTAATAAAAAATATATTAAATTACTTTTTTATTCAAATAGTGTAATGATTTTTATTCCAACATATTTTGAAATCTGTTTATTTGTGTCTAAATTTTATTATTATAGAATACTTTGTGCAATAGCTTATTGCTTTTTGCGGAAATGTTTGCAAAATAGTAATAAAAGGGCAACAGAAGATCCAAAAATTGTTGATTTTATTAAATTTTTACCGCATAGTTTTTTCGGAATAATCACGTCGATGAGACGTGAAAAAATTGTTGACTCAATTTACCTTTTAACGGCCATGTGGGATTGAAAAAGCGATTCATACAACAACAATAGAACTGAAAAAACGAAAGCTTGGTTGGTAGAAAACATTGAATGTTGAAATATTTCACGAATTTTTTTTGTTGTTAACGTTTTCGAGAAAGTAAGAATAATAATGTCTCTGTCGATGCATAATATGTTAATACTGCAATTGACTCAAGCTGAACTTTCGACGATACCTTCTACCACATACCACACACCAAACCATGCATACGGGTCGCATCATAGTACCTAAGTACACTTCTACAGTCCCAAACAGGACTACGATTTGGTCAGATGTACAGAAGTAAACTCGATTAGCGATGACTTTATTATTTGATAAAAAAAATTAAACTTACCTATATATACCACTGAACGAGTGAGCTAATGATTGTGACACATTAAAAGATGAAAAAAAAATTACTAAATTGAAAATTGAAAACAATGGAATTTAAAAAATTTAGAATACACATAATATCGCAATAATAATGTTGCTCAAAATCGTTACCATTTCTCTCGAGACATATTCTGGGTCTTCTTAAGAGATCCATTGTAGGTATCCTAGACATGCACAGGGGCGGATCCAGCTTTAAATTCA